CAATTACCCAGAAAGCCGGTTGGTTATATGACGCTGTGAATGTGCAGAATGTCATTAACGGCGGACCTGCGGCGTCCTATTTACGCTCTCCAAGAGAGAAAGAGCTCTTATTGCATTGCGTGATCCATGTAATTTCATTCCTGACTTGTTATTCGTCTCATTACCTGGCCGAGTCTTTCCTCCCGTCCTCCACAGTGCTGCACGCACAGAACCAGAGAGCGAGAGACAGCGAAACGCTTCGATTTGAACAGCAGACGACTTGCATTTAGAGCGATACGATACAATATCACTATATAGCCATGAACATTTGGGCACAATATTAAATGCATGCTTTTATGAACCTGTAAACCTACAGATGCATGCTGAAATGATGACTTAAATTAGCTTTGTAGACATATAAACGTACAAAATTTAGAGCATAACTATCATATGAATGCATCATATAATGCAGCTTTTGTCTTCTCCAGATGTTAACTGATGGACTGGAGTGCTGTGGATTACGTGTGGATTATTGTGATGTTTTTATCAGCTGTTTGGACTCTCATTCTGACGGCACCCATTCACTGCAGAGTATCCATTGCTGAGACACTGATGCAATGCTGCATTTCTACAAACCTGATGAAGAAACAAACTCATCCTAATCTTGGGAGGCCTGAGGACATTTGTATTTTTGGGTGAACTATTCCTTTAAAAACGCATGCTGAAAATTAGCTTTGTAGACAAACATAAATGTATCATAATTGAAATTCGCAGCATGAATGCATTCACTCTGAATCAGGGCTATTATAGTTAACTAAAAATAAAACCAAAACCATAATTTTTTTTTTACTTAAATTAAAATAATTGTTAACTAAAATTAAATATACGTTCATTTTATATATAACAAATTATATCACTTATATATACACATGTATTATTATATTATTATTATAATTTATATATTGTATAATATTATTTTTATTTTTGTTAATTATTATTATATATATATTTTTTATATCAGTTAGTTTAACTTGATGTACTAAAATAACTAAAACTAAACTAATTACGAAAACACACAACAAAATTACTAAAACTTTAAATAAACTTGAAAGCAGAATATATATATATATATATATATATATATATATCAAAATATTAACAATATTATCCATATATTTGAATATAAATTCTAAATATTAACAAACTATAATAGTATTTCAATGATAAAATAAAACAACACTGCTTCAACTATACTATCAATACAAGGCCTGATGCAAAAGAAAACCAGCAGAGATATATAGATATGTGATGGAATCGACTCGGATCGAATCGTGTTTGAGTTGAGAAACATAATGGCACAAACAAATGATGGAAGGAAGAAAATAACTTCAGCAGAATATGCCAAGTGAAATGAAGCGGGCGCCATCTGTGATGTACAATCTTCCCGACGCAAATTGCTTTTAATGCGAGAGTGAGATGTTTCTGCTGCCAGAAAGGTCCTTCCTCTGTTAAAGGAAGAAATCATTCCCTGAGTTTGTGGACTTGGTGGGAAACGGCTCCCTTCTGATTACGGCCCATTTGTTCTGTCAGCATTTCCACCTGCAATAAAGCCGTCTGGCTTCTGGTCACTTCACTCGCCTTTTCCAGGTCAAGCGTGGGTCCTTTCAGAGCCAATCAAAGGAAAAGCTCTCCAGTGCCAATCAGAGATCGTCTCATCTGACTCCCAGCGCTCGCGGGTTTCACTGAACGCAGCCCGTGTTTGGTTAAGTGCTGCTGGACGAGCTTTCGACTTAAATCCAACTGATGAAAATTCCATAATGAATGAATGCTAAACCATATATTCAATCATTATCCACAGGGATTTAATAAATTATTCAGTAAAGCACCAAACTAGACCTGCATGATGTTGGAAAAAAACGTGATGCTATGTTTTTCTGCAATATATAAAGTGCTGAGAAAAAAATACAGGAATTTTCTCCCAGTTACTTTAATAAATATATTCAAGTAAGATTGAATTAGTTTATTTTGGAGTGCAAAAATAAAATAAAATAATCAATACTACTACTACTACTAAATAATAATAATAAATGCTGAAAATTTACATTTTATATTATTTTTTAATGGAACAAGTTTGCAAGAATTTTACATATTAATAATAATAAATGCTGAAAATTTAAATTCTAGATTAGCTTAAAAATTTATTTATTTTATTGTTTGATTGTGAAATCCTTTTATGACTGCAAGTTTTGGGAAAACTTTAAAAGGTAGGTGGTTTATACAAGAATGCTGTTCTTTTGAACTTTCTATTGATCATTAAGGTTTACATTTATTGATTCAGCAAACACAACAGATCTGTGCTGACACCATCACATAACCCTGCACTTTTACTTGCACTGATCCTTGCATTGATACAGTATTTATTTTTATTTCTGAGTGCATTCATAACTCACAACTCGCATACAAGCCTGTTTCACTTTCCCCCCATTTTTCCAGCCCAAACAGGAAATAAACAACTTTCCCCGTGGCCACAAAAAGCCGATTGGTCCTTCTGTGATCTTTCAGAAGGAAACATCCAAACCTGTGTGAAAAGCAGCAGCGCCGCATGAAAGACGCCGCTTATCTGCACACGACCAAACGCTCCAACTGCTCTACAATATTCCACCAGCAATTTCACCCAATAAAAGCCCTGTTGTTTGTTTCTGACACTGTGCGTGTGTGCATCTGTAACGTAACGGCCCATTCTGCTCTAAACATCCGGGGTGCTTATATAAACACGTCCCGCTTTAACTTTTCCAGGACTCCATGCTAAACAAATTAGAAGCAGTCAAAAAAAATGTATGTGCACCTTCTGAGCAGTCACATAAATATTACACGATTCAAATAATTGAATACTTTTAATAAATTAAACTAAAACAACAATTCACTGGTCTTTGTCACTGAATCATCAATTCAGTCGATTCATTAAGGCAGCTGATTCATTCAGCTGATTCAGTGTCCTTATGAACGATTCATTCAAAAACGCAGATCCGTTCATCATGTTTTGCTCTGAGATTCACAGCAGCTCAGCTGTGACTTTGTTTGAAACTATTTTTGTTGCTGAAATAGAGAAATTCAGACAATATTGTGCCTAAAACGTACATCATCTGCAGATGCATTTGAAGTTGTAGTTTTAACTCTCCTGATGCTCCCTGTGTGGCAGTCCACTTATTGTTTATTTCAATGACATGAATCTGCTGTATTTTAGTTTGATAATGTTTTTTTATGTAATATTTTGTATTTTTAGGAGATTTTATGGTACTAAACTATATTTATGGAATAGTTACGATCCATTTATTACCTGTTAACCACTGTTTGAACACAGACCTGACATGAATTTTCCAACTTAAAGGGGTCCTATTATGTTTTTTCACTTTTTTAATTTTAGTCCGTGTGTATGTTTGGGCATGAAAAAGATCTCCAAAGTTACAAATCTCAAAGTCCACTCCAAAGGGAGATAGTTCTTTTTTTTTTTAAATCCCTTTTCAAGAACTACAGCGAATGGCTCGTTTGGACTACAGCATTGTTTTACGGGTCTTGTGATGTCACAAAGCGGCCCATTAGAATATTATTAAAATAATTCCCGCCTACGTAAATGTGTGGTAAGTACTGCCGCTCAATAGTATAAACAGAGTGCGTGCAATCGCGAATCTCGAAAGTGAAAGTGAAACTAAAAAGCGATCGTCCACTCTAAAGCACTTTCAATGCCAGGCATTGTTCTAGTACACCCCCAAAACAAAATCAAGACTTTGTACAAGAGCATAATAGGACCCCTTTAAACTGTCGTACATTTTAAATGCTTTGGAGTGCAGACTTAAGATTGGTCTGTTTTTAAAGAAGACACTTTATTGCTGAAGTAAAAAAAAAAAAAGAAAGTAAAGTAAAAAATTAGTAGTAGCTTATTATTATGAACAATGATATTATATATTTCTATATGAAATATTTATTTTCCAAAACCTGTTTTACTCTAAAACTGTGAAAAAAAATCAAAGCCATTCATGTTCGTGTTCCAAATTTGAGGTTGATATTTTTGTTTGGGTGCAGTACCAAATGTTACCACTAGAATTTTTACCACGAGTAATTTCATGTCCATGATTTTTTTTTTTTTTAAATGGTGCGTTCACATAGCAAGTGCCAAAACTTTTTTGCATCAGTTTTATTTTGATGAAGTAAAAAAAAAATTAAAAAAAAAACAATAAGTACAATTTTTCAGTAAAAAATGACCAAACAGCACAGAAGGTTCATTTGAATTGGATTATGCAACTATTGATGAGCTTTGATCGGGTCACTCGCACCGGTGCGCCCAAATAATTTTTTCACAGTAATTTTCACTAAAGCCTTGTCTTCTGAGGAAGCGAGCGAGCTGAAGATAGTCTTAAGTTAATGGTGGTAGTCATAACGTGTGTTCAGATGATTAAAAGCGCAGGAAAAACACAGAGACGAGGCGTTCGAGTTAAACCTGCCTTCCAAATCTGTCCATTGAGTGTCTTGAGCTGCCTGGAGGATGTTTTGCTGGCGGATTGCAGCCCACTCCACTCTCTGTGTCATGGCAAAGATGGATTATTTGGGAAAGAAGAAAAGAGCGGATGCTTTGAGAAAATCCTTTACGACCGCCGCTTATTAATCCTGTTTAGCTCAAACTTTCTGCTGTTGTTAGGACGAGTTTGTCTGACAGCCCACTCCTGCTGCAATCGATGTCCGAATCGATACGTTGTGTGTAGCTAAACAGGAATTAACAGGTGGCCACTGAGCTAAATGTTTCTCAACAAAGTCTGACATTTAGTTGAGGTGATTGAGTTATCTACACATCAGCTGCCGAGCGGTTTACCTTTGCTTCGGCCGGTAACAAACGTTAATCTCCAATTCAATATAAAATTCATCAGCGGAGAGTGCCGCGCTCTGTGTGTGTGTGTGTGTGTGTGTCTGTGTGTGTGTGTCTGTGTGTGTGTGTGTGTGTGTGTGTGTGTGAGAGAGAGAGACGGTACCTCAGCAGCAGGTATTCCTTCTGGCGGGCGGCACTGGAGAAGCACTTCCTGTTCGAGCGACACTTCCTTCCCCAGAGGCTCCTGGTCAAATGTTTTCCTGAGATCTGTGAAGGAACCACAGATGAACGTTTTCAGCATGAATGCATATGAATGAACACATACAGACTCAATGCAATCATCCAGGAAACTACATTCCTGGTCAAACGTCTCTTCTGCTCATTAATGCAGCTTTTATTTGACTAAAAATACAGTAAAATTGTGAAATATTATTACAATGTAAAACAGCTGTTTTCTATGTGAATATCTGTTAAAATGTAATTGATTGCTGTGATCAAAGCTGAATTTTCAGCATCATTACTCCAGTCTTCGGTGTCACATGAATTCCTTATATATATATATACAGTGGGTACGGAAAGTATTCAGACCCCCTTAAATTTTTCACTCTTTGTTATATTGCAGCCATTTGCTAAAATCATTTAAGTAAAATTTTTTTTCCTCATTAATGTACACACAGCACCCCATATTGACAGAAAAACACAGAATTGTTGACATTTTTGCAGATTTATTAAAAAAGAAAAACTGAAATATCACATGGTCCTAAGTATTCAGACCCTTTGCTCAGTATTTAGTAGAAGCACCCTTTTGATCTAATACAGCCATGAGTCTTATTGGGAAAGATGCAACAAGTTTTTCACACATGACCTCATGATTCTCATTTGCTCAGACTTGCACTGTGAGCTGTAAGGTCTTATATAGATAGGTGTGTGGCTTTCCTAATCAAGTTCAATCAGTATAATCAAACACAGCTGGACTCAAATTAAGGTGTAGAACCATCTCAAGGATGCTCAGAAGAAATGGACAGCACCTGAGTTAAATATTTGAGTGTCACAGCAAAGGGTCTGAATACTTAGGACCATGTGATATTTCAGTTTTTCTTTTTTAATAAATCTGCAAAAATGTCAACAATTCTGTGTTTTTCTGTCAATATGGGGTGCTGTGTGTACATTAATGAGGAAAAAAAATGAACTTGAATGATTTTAGCAAATGGCTGCAATATAACAAAGAGTGAAAAATTTAAGGGGGTCTGAATACTTTCCGTACCCACTGTATATTAGTGCTGGGATTAATCGCATTATGCACAAAATTCAATAATGAATTTCAAATTTTCATTTAAAAGTACTGCTATATGAACAAAAGTGCAATAATATTTGGTTTGCAAACACTTTAAACAAATAAGGTGCTTTTTTACAGAAGTATTCCTTTTACATAGTAGCAGTTAAAATATTTCTTGTAAATCTCAACTTATAACATTAATGTAATCAAATTAAACATAAAACCAAAGCTATTTGCCACTGCCAGGGCATTAACATTTTTATAGAAAATATTTGATAGTTTGTTATAGAAAAACAAGTTCTGCTCAGAGTCCAGAGCCTCGATCATAACATTATAACAGGCTCCATCCGAATAGAGACCTGCACGATCGAGGGGCCCAACGCAACACTTGATGGGCGGGTCGAGGCTCGTGTGTGCGGGATGCGGGAGAATAATTAGGGTGTACTACACTAGGCAAAGCCCGGTTTGTTTGACTAGAGTGATCGCTCCGTGCCGCGCTCGGTTGGAGGTGGGTCAGAGCGTGGTTCAGTTATATATAGATCAGTGAGTGTGAGCGCTAACTGCACTTCTGATACCTGCAGCATGATTGCGTGAACATTTCTGAGCAGCAAAAGTGATAGATCTGTAAAGCAATATATTGTGAGAGGGCCGTGTGTTACCGTGTCCCAAACGACTCAAAATAATAAACCACAAAGTTAACAAAACGATGCACTCCACTGTGCTGAGCGAGAGCACTTCTCTGCTTCTTCACGCACCGTCGGAAACTTCCTATTTCCCACTTATGAAGTCGTGAGCGCTGCTGCAGTCTTACCCAAAGTCTCTCATTGAGACGCTTGATGACGCCCCCCCCAAGCCAGTACTGATCAACATCACACCCTCCTGTGACCCATGGTTTGTCTGTATGTGTATTCAGAGCCAGTGAGCAACGGACTTTCATAATAATAAAAATCTGCGTTAATGTGCGATAAAATAATTGTCGGCGTTAATCAATTAATGCGTTAACGCGATAATAACGCGTTAACTTGCCCAGTTCTAATATACAGTATGTATATATGTATATATGTATGTACGTATGTATGTGTCTGTTTGAAAAAACTATATTGGACATAAAAAGGACTAAGGAATATGTTTTACATAAAATACAGCAAATAAATTATTAAAATATTAAAATAAACATTTAAATTGAACATCGTTACAGTCCTAAATCTCACAAGGATATAAGTTGAGTCAGTATGTCCAAATTCCCAAAAATAAATACATAAAAAAATGAATAAAAGAAAGAATGAATGAATTAAAATTGATTAAAAAACTTAAAAAAAAAAAAAATCTAAATTACTTTGTAAATTATTACCAGTAATTTCCTTCAATCTACACTGAAAAAAATGGCAATGAAACAATTTTCACTTAGAAATTGCTAGCAAATTTCACAAATAGAATAAATAATAGAATAAATCTTCACAGATTGAATACAAAATAAATGGCAAGCAACATATTGAATTAGACATTCATATTTTAAGTAGAAAGACTGAAATAGTATTTTCTTGTAAACATACTTCAGTAATATTTGTTTTATTTACAACCTCAGTGACTCAAATACATTTATTTATTTTAATTATTGTACTTATTTATTTACTGATTGATTGATTGATGATCGATCGATTGTAGGGTTGGGCCGATAGATGATGCCATCGCCCATCGCCGATGGCTGATAGACATCACGATGTTGAGCCGACATCGTGATCCACCCCCCATTCCACCAGCAATCTGCCGCATTCCAATACCGTGTTCGAAAAGAAAATGAAAATGACGTGTACTAAGGAACCCCTAAAGGGAATAAATACGAGATGGGAGGAAAATACATGTTTTAATAATTTATCTTGCAGTTATAACATTGGGTAATTATACTGTATATAAATTGCGGGCATCAGGGAGCCGCTATTATGCCTGGCATTGAAACTCCTTTTGAATGCACGATCGCTTTTTAGTTTCACTTTCACTTTCGAGATTTGCGAATCGTGATCGCACGTAGTCTGTTAATACTATGGAGCGGCAGTACTTACCACACATTTTACAAGATTAGATGTTTGTCAGTGGTGCTGAGGATCTGCAAATCATTCGCCATCGTCCTCAGTCATCTCTCCTTTCTCTGTTTATGTGGTAATTGAAATTTTATGTACTGTAATGTAACAGGTAACCGTTAGCAATCGTTTTCTGAATACGGATTCATGCTTCGGGCACACCCCCTAAGCCCCCCCATGTCATCGCCATCACGATGTTTCGCTGTAGACATTGCCCAATTTTTGTAGACATCGCCCCAACCCTAATAGTGCAGTTCACTAAAAATTTACTGACGTCAAACGAATCAGAACACTAAAAGAATCAGAGTTTGGTTTGTTTTGGTGATGTGAATGCTGTTTCCCAAACCGTGGCCAAGCATGTATTTGAAAAGGTGATCTTATATGGTTCAAGTCAGATATGATTTGAGCTCATATGAGCATAACCGTGCTAAATTGCAGAAGTAAAACACTGCTGCTGACAAATAATTAATAAAACTCTTTATTTGTGTTGTCACTAATTTTCCTGACAAGCCTGACTTATACAAATGTATATCTCATTTATGCTCGCCTTCAGCAGAAATGGTCTCCTGTGGTTTTTAGAACATTTACAGTACATTCGCAGCAGATAGATGAAAGTGCCATTCTGTGATGAAATAAAACCTAAGTATAAAAGTGAGGAGAGCAAATGTATTTTGCCATCTTCTCCTGCATTGTGGTTATTAAACAATGGGGGTGAGGGTGAAAAGTTGCTGCTTTGATATAGGGGTCGACCGATTATCGGCACCGATATTAAGCATTTTATGATTATCGTATCGGTCATTTTCAAAACCGATAAAATAACTTAATTTTGAAACACGCTATTTGGCTCTGATGCAGCCTGTCAGAACTCACCACTCTGTGGCCTAAAGCAGTCTCCGCCCACCGCCCATCTGATTTGTTGGGAGTCACGAGTCCGACCAATCAATGCGGAATTCACTCTCACTCCAAAAGCGCTTGCTAACTGGAGCTGCTTCAGTGATCACGCATCAGTTGTCTCTCAAAGGTAAGGCAGCAGCAGACGTTGCTTAAGTTGCAATAGATCCCAATCCACTAATGTTACACTGAAGTTGCAAAACACCTCAATATTATCTATGATTTCCGCGATGCGGAAAACGCGGACGGAATCGCGGAATCCAGTCATATAAATTGAATTTACTGTATGACGCGGAATGTCACGGAATTTGTCAAAGTTTGGATGAATTAATCAAAAGTAGGTCAGTACACTTAAATAGAGTCGCAATATGGACTAGTATCTGTAAATATTAAGCCGCAAAAATACTATTTAAATATGAATCCAGCATGTTCTGCGTGTCTCTGTGTATGTAAATGGCACAGATGAGCGTTTTTGTTTTCTACACTTACAAAGTGTGCGACGCTCGAAGTTGATTTCAGCTTCTGTCGTATCACTATATGAGGACATAAATACATGAACAACATCTCCAGAACTGCTCTGACTCCTCACTTCATGAGCATTTGACAGTTTCATTGGAGTAAAACTATCTTCATATCATTTACATAGACCTACAGATACAAGTTCCTCATGGCAACCCATCAAAATATAAGTTCGGGTTAGCTTAATGAAATGATCAGAAATATATTACTATGGTGCAGTATGATGTACATAATACTACTCAGGGATGAAAGTTTTCCGTCGCTACGACGGATTTCCATCAATTGGAAAAAATGAGGGGAAAAGAAACATGTAACACATTGTTGTTGTTCTGCCAGTGTTCTGACGATTTGTTGGTAGCATAATCTGATAGGTAGCATTATTTGTCAGAACACCAGCACACCAAAAATCCTCCCCACCACGGCTGCAGCTTCTCACTGACAACATAACGCCACTCGCATCATTCACAGTCGGGTTATTAGCAGAGAACACAGAGCAGGTCTTG